CAGATAATTATGTTCTTTTTCTTCAAATTCTTTTATTTTTCCAATTTTTTTTATCCCAATAGTAACTTTTACTCATTTCTTTTTCATTCTCAAATTTTATGTTCAAAGAACGAAGCTTAAAAATCGTAAAATTTCTTATAAGATAATTAAATTGAAATATTTTCATTCAGTTTCCAGAACTTGTTTGGATATTAATGTTAAATCGGTTTCTTTACGGGGAGAGCAGTCTCTAAGGTTTCATCGTTTAATCACTGAATTTTCACTTATTTTCCCGTAAAAGAGATAAGAAAACGAGGATAAGGAAGTATTTGAGGAAGCGTACTATTGCTTAAATAAATTTAAGAATCTTAGAATTTTAGAATCTTTAGAATTTCATAGATTATAGAATTATACTTTATTCTCCTGAAATCTATAGTAATTGAACAAAGGAGAAGGAAATGGAAAGGCTTAGAAATGCTGAAAGAATGGTGTCCATATCAGGCCTTATCGCCAAATATAGTGAAAAACGTATATATATATATTACATACTGTTTTCCGCGTTTAGAATGATTTCTTCAAACTATATAGAAATAATGAAGAAGTCCGGTAATGCGAGAATTACTGAAGCAGTTGTTATAACTAATCTAGAGCTTCTTATAAAAATTGTCTAATATTAAACAGGTGCATTTTCTAGACTTTTTCCAAACTTTTCGTACAAGTATAAATAAACATTTCTACCCCTAACACTACGTAATGTTTCCAAAAATATAATTTCACATAGAAATAGATACTGATACTTTATAAAATTTCACGGAGAAAGAACAATTATGTTTTGTTACTGAAACATGGAAAACTTCAGGAACTACATTTGTTATAAATCCGAATAATTTTCACGAGAAATATAAATTTCGACTGTTGTTATAACTCGAATGTTAGAAGAAAATAGTTCTGTTATCTCCTTTGCCATGTAGAGGAATACGAAATTGCAATACTATCTCAAATTGATTAACACGAGAAATAGTTCTGAAAACATTCTGGACCATTTGACAATTTCATAAATAAATTACGTCGAATAAATTATAAAAATTCCATTGAAATTCAACGAACAAATTTTGTTTCACATTGGTTCACAATATTCGTAACGGGACGATGTCTTTCTTCAGATGATTATTTCAAAAATTTCACCAAAAAAATTACATAACGCTGAATTCGTTTCGCTGGTAGAAAACCAGAAGCTATCTTAGAATTATTCTTATTGATAATATTTTCGCAGTTACTAACGTGATATCGCAATAATAACGCCTGTTCCTAAGATATATACAAATGGTTACAAATGGTTGTAGTTCCATCAAGTATGCTCAAGGATGAATAAATATAGGATATCTCTGAACATAATAATATATCGTTTAAAGTACATACAGTTACTCTCAATAATACTCGGACATTCTTTAAAACAGTGTAACTTTTTTAAAATTGGTCCAAACGATTTGAGTTTTTTTGTTTTGAAAAGCTAGAAGGATTAGTATACTAGAGGACGTGTAGAAAAAATTGCAATTTCTGAAAATCGCGAAGAAAATTGTGAAGGTCACTGTTTACAACTTTTTCATCTGAGCTTGTATTGAATATACATGCTGAAAATTTCATCGAAATCGGTTAACAGTGCCATGAGCTATAAGCGGTTAAAAATTGTGAAAACGCAGTGTTTTGCGACTTGTGGCCTATAACTGTGATAAATCTAAAGATTCTTACATCTTTCGATGCCCGCCGCTTGTTTCTGCATCAACCGATTTCGATGAAATTTTCAGAAAAACTCAAGTCGTTTGGTCCAATTTAAAAAGAAATTATACTATTGCAAAGAATGTCCGAATATCAGTGAAAGTAAATTTAATTAGTGAACAGTGAGAGTCACGACCTAACCTAAAATTATTTCTCTTATTATCTTTTTTTCTCTATAACATATAGCAGCGAAAAACGAAAAGAAATGTTTTCTTCAGTTTTTCAAAATCATCACGTTATATTCTACAATTTAGTGTCTACATACTTATCTACATATTTACTTCTAAACATCTTGTATAAGCATATGTAAATCAGCTAAAACGTAACAGGTTTCGGTAAGAAATGAATATTTAGAATAAGCATACAGAGTTCTCTTTCTGAAGATTTAAATTTTCCTTTGTCCCTGTGTTTCTTTCATTTCTCATAGAAAGAAAACAATACGAAGAATTGGGAAAAATCTTGTTTCACGACAAATTGGGCAATATTTATCCCTGATGGAAACATGGCAACCAATTTTTAGGCTCGTCATTTTGAGAGACAAACAGCCTTTGAAATTTACTTGCTGCGAAAGTGTTAACCCTTTGCGGTCCTACGTCAAACTGATTTGAAAAACCTCAATTTTAACGCTTGAAATATATTTTTTTTGCAAACTCGACATTTAGTGGAACTTCATTAACGTATGACATTGAACCATTTCTTAATTGACGTAAGTTCAATTATATAAGAAATGAGGATTAATTAAAGCTACTTTTAATTATCGGCCAATATTGTCTTTTTCCTATCAGTGGTATTGAAGTTAAGAACATTTCGAGATCTCTATAAATCAGACAATAGAAACTTACAATTGTACTGGTGATTATGAAAGTGGTCTAAGTGAAAAATCTAAAAAAATTGAATTTATCACTTATTTCACGTTACGTCGATATTTCCATAGAAAAGAGTTGTAATTGTAAGAGTTTTGTGAAATATTTTATCGCGTAATGAAAAAATAT